TGTGCAGATTCCAGGGCTAATGGCACATTCCATGCAAATATGTGACACTGAACCTTGGTGGCTTTCTCCTTCAAGAAGCCATATGGGATTGCTTTGCTTAGAGCAGGAGGTTCAGCGCTGCTGGGGGGAAATGTGGAGACCTAAGATTTGCTTGCAAAGAAGCTGGGGATTGGTGATAGTAAAATCAATGTGGGAAAGGAAACAGAGGATGTGGAGACAGCAGGATGTGAAATAGCCAGGGTGGTTGTAGGAAGGGAGAGTCAGCTGAAAAGCAAAGCCTGGAAAGAGGGGAAAGGCGGCAGTAGGGATGGGCAAATCTGTCAATTTCAGTTTCTCATTTACCAGTCTTACATTCGGTTCCCCACATTTCCACATCCGTTTGCAATAAACCAAAAAAAGTCCCCGTGAAAATTAATCAACATTTTAGTGCTAATTTCTCCTAACAGACATATTTTTTTGCAAAGCAATTCCCCCTACTAGAATGCATTTTATATGTTATTTTCACTATTATATGCATTTTAGTGCACATTTGATTCTAGTATATGCATTTTTGTACACAGTACTTGGCTGGGAAACTGCAAAATTCAGAATAGTGTGAATTTTGAAGGCTGGCTAAATTTTGGTTCACAAAGTCCAAAATGAGGTAGATTTGCCTTTCATTGTGAACTGAATCCCATCCCTTTTCTCCCCCATCCCTAGCGGGGGGGGGGGGGAGAAAAGGGTTGGATAACTACACGGAACCTAAAAACAGATCAGGCTGCACACTTTTAGCAAGAAGAAAAATTGGGGAAACCCTTGGGACCCGTTATTGACCTGGGATGGATCTGGGATACGGGAGGCAAGATGAACATTATTTAGTAATTTAAAGTAACCACACAAAACTTTGGGAAGAATTCAGCTTCATGCTATTATGATTGTTCCATCAGTGCAAGCATTTATGCTGAAATGGTCTCTCCTATCCCTGTGGCCTGTTCTGGGGATTCTCCTGCCCCGCCCCACCCTGAGCCAATTTGAGAGGCACGGGGGGGGGGACCCTCAGCCAATTTGAGAGGCACAGGGGGGGGGAGAAAGGATGAAAACTCCAGTTGTGCTAGCACGACTCATTGTGCTGGCTCCCACCAGCACAACAGTGTGGTTGAATCCAGCCATTTGGCTCGAGCTCAGGGAGTGGGGGTGTCAAGTTGAATGTGCTTGCCATTTTGCCTCCAACCTGCCAATCGGAATGTCTCCTGCTGCTTTCCTGCTAATATATAGGGGGCTTTGATGAAAACCTGACTTCCTTTCGCCTCTGACTTGTTGGTTGGCATCCATCTGTCTCAGGGGACAGTGGAGGAGTGTGCCTTTGGGAGTGAGGTCAAACCATTGGAGAGTTAGAGTGCTTGCTGTGGTTGTAGAGCCCGATACAGGAAAGACATGGCTTGTAGCACCCTTAAAAATGGGTGGTCATAGCCTGTTTGCTACCATTAGAAGGTTTGCTGAGAGTGTTTTTGAATCAGGCCCTGGGATGCCTTCGTAGCTCTTCTAGCACTACTGATTTCAGCATAATAAAGTTACTTTTCTCTTTTGGTTAACAAAGCAGTGGTGCAGTCATCATAGTGCAGCATCTCTTCAGAAGCAAGTTACCTTACTGCATATCTTGTAGACATGGCAGTTGGCCCAGAACGAAAAAACATTACAAATGTGTCCCAGACCACTTATTGTCTTATAAAAGCAGGGAGTTGATCTAGTGGGAGCCAAGGTTTACAACGGGGGGGAAACATTTCCTATATTCTGACACAATCAGACCCACCCGGGTAATCATCTAGTGATCTGAGAGAACAATCACATGGCTGGGAGATTATTGTTTGTTTGGGTGAAGCTGCATTTCTGTTATGAATGGAAACCATAACTGCCACTAGATGGCCATTTATCACTTTTAAAAAACTCCACCGAATGAGTCTGGCGGTTGTCTTATGGCCATTATTCATGTTTACAGCAAAAGTAGCCAATATTTCATCTCCAATATGAGAGAGTGCAACTTTATTGTTATTTTCTTTGGCTTCTGACCAACGCTGATAGCAGTTTATATGTTTCAGCTGTTTCTTTTCCATTTGGGTATTACATTAGCAAAACGTTACTTTTTAATAGATTTTGTTCCATTTGACCTAGTGTGCAGTTTCAGAAAAAAGAGTTGGGGGAGTTGGTTGTATTGCTTTTTAAAAGTTTATTTTTGGTCTGGTTATTAAGACATTTGGAAGATGAACAAACAATGCCTCTGTTGAACTCGTGCTTTGGTCTAGCTATGAGCCAGCGGGAACAATTGTCTTTACCTTCTTCAAACATACAGAAGGCGGTAGAAACTGTCTAGCACAATTCCAATCTCTTCCTACATAGATCTTAGATTTTGTTTGCTGTCTGTCACCCAAAGATGTATCAGTGGCCATTGGATTAATGTTAGCTTTTAAAAATCTCATTCCCTCCCCACATTGAAAAATAAAGTGCTTCTCCCAGTCCTCCCTTCCCAATCCTCCCACTTTCTCCCAATCCTCCCTATGAACCCACTGGGTGGCCAGGGACTGGCAAGGCCCTGAAGAGTGTGTGGCGGAGGCAGCAGACCAGGGGAGTGACTCAGGAGAGGGGAGCAGTGATTTATGTGGTGTCACACCACCTGCAAGGCAGGAACCAAGGGAGGCAAAGGGAGGCATGCAGGATATTCCCCACCTTCCTCCCACCCCACTATCTATTAGAACCAGGAGGGTCTTGAAAAGGGAAGAGCAGTGATGACTTCCCTGTAGGTCTCAGGTTGTGGCCACACATCTGTCCAGAGGAGGGGATTCTAATAGGGGACAGATTGTTCCCCACAGGAATTTTTTCCTGCTCTAAGGCTTATTATGGGCCTGACTTGCATGCCAAATTCTAGGATACATGTACCAGTAGTTAACTGCAAAAATCAATGTGGCACTGAAAACTTATATATATATATAAATCCTCCCACTTCCCTCAAATTTAGAAAGTTAAAATACTGTAAGAAGTACCAGTATAACCATGTAAAATTTCATGTTGAGAGCTCATATGATTAAGAGCCACCTTTGCATAAACAAAGATCAGAATACTCAGTTTAGCTGCCTTTACAGACATTATACACCTACTACTATTTTGAATGACCCAGCATGTGAATATTGTGTTTGTGGATGCAAACTCATGCTTTTCATTTACGGGATGTATATGTAAAAGTAAAATTACATAGAAAAGAACATGTAAACCCAGCTGTTATAAATGACTGTGATTTTAAGCCTCAGAGTTTTTGGTATAAAATTAAACACTATGTGAAGAGCTTTGCCCTTTTGATGGTTTTATGATATTTTGCTGTTCTTGTCTTATAAGCCCTTGTAGTGTGTGGAGCTCTTCTCCAGAACTGTACTCTTGAGGAGCTTTCTTCATGCAATATTGCACACATGTTTCCTTCAAGAATGTAATAAGTTGCATCTTCAAAATGTCTATATCCATTTACCTTGGTGACAATATAGGTCTATCCAGTTTAACAGATGACAAGGGTATCTTCCTGCTACAGCTAGTGTGAACTTGCTTCTACTAGACTGGAGTGTTCCCATATGTTTTGTGACTCCCAAGGCAATTAAACAAAATTGGGGATTCAAAGCCTAGTGGCACAATCTAGATATTCTTGATGGGGAGGAGTCATCTTAAACTTGTTGATCAGGCAATGATACAACAGAAATACACAGTGGGAGTAGTGGAATCATTCTCTGTTGGGATAAAGCTACAAAGGAATACTTAACAGTTTGGTCTGTCTTTCCTTCTCTTTGGGGGCTATCTGTACTTTTCTCCACTGTTGATATGTTCCTATTATTATAGTCAACCATTCCTGCAGGATTACAGCATAAACTCCAAGCCCTTACCTTAAATTGTATTTTGTGGCTGTCTCATTCAGTTACTAGATTGGAACACATAACCAATGGGGGTTAAAGCACTATGTATGGAAGCCACAGGAAATAACAAGCATGTATTGAAACGATTGCCCCCCCCCATTTCTTTGTATATTTACATACTGCATGCTGGCTGGGAAGGTGAATACATACAACATAGTGAGATAAACCTGTGTATACTTTGCAAGATGAGCAGCGGCTGGGGAGAAGAGATGACTGCTTTCATGTCCAACCAGTGGACTTTGGTCACTGTGGGAAGCAGGATGTAGTTCAATTCAAATTATTATTTACTCTGATCAGTTTTTCCCCTACATTACAGTGCTTTCTGAACAGGAAAGTAGTCCTTAGAACAGGCACAGGCAAACTCGGCCCTCCAGATGTTTTGGGACTACACCTCCCATCATCCCTGACAACTGGTCCTGTTAGCTAGGGATGATGGGAGTTGAAGTCCCAAACGTCTGGAGGGCCAAGTTTGCTGATGCCTGCCTTAGAATTTAAATCCCCAGGAGGAAATGGCACCTCAAAGATACAGCTGATTCACAGCTCAGTGTGTTGTGCTCTTACTCCTATAAAATGTTACTTTGCAGGTGTATAGCACCTGGTCCTGCTGTGCACACCTTTGGGTTCAATGGGATTTACCACCAGGTAAGGGTGTATAAGATTGCCTATGGCATTTACACTCCTGATGCTGCAGTCCTATGTGCACTTGTTTGGGAGTAAACTCCAGTGCATATGATTGCACTGGCTGCATGCTTTGAAGGACCCTGCTCTATTATTATTATTATTATTATTAATAATAATAATAATAAATAGAAGGGATACATCCCTTTTCTACAGTGTTTACTATTCTGCAGCTTTCTTGCACTTTCAAAGTCCTGTGGCAAAAACACAGTACCACTACTGAGGAATTAAAAAGGACCTATGCCCTCAATCTTGATAGAAACTGATTAATATTGCATAGATACTAACTAGTCTAGGGCTCACTGCTACTGAGATTTTATGGAAAGGTGAAAAAGATGACTCCTTTGGATATGGAGGCGAGTTAGTCCTGTTGAATACTCAATAGCCAAACAAAAGTACACAGAAAACACGGCTTTATTGACTGCATTTGCCAACACATTGAAGAATGCAAAGGTATTTCTTTTCTTTTTTTATAAGCAAATGGTTCATGGTCCCAATGTGTATTAAAGCATACACTGAATCGAAACATGATGAAAATTATGGCGGACAGACCTATTCCAAAGCAACACAAACAGCATGCATAATACAGCTTTCACACAGAACAACTTTTGATACATTATATTGCTTTAAGGATTAACTAACATGGAAAATATACAAAAGGAGAAATAGGTTTTTGCATTAATGAAAAATACATTTTTTTCTCTACAAAGGAATTTCTAATACAAGAAAATAAATATCGCAACATAAGCCAAAAATAATTTAAAATTGCTCTTTTCAATATATTTTCAATATTTCTCTTTTATATTAACAAATGGCACATCACTTTCTTTGAAACAAAGAAAACAGAAGGGCTTTACCTTCTGTGACATTCATATCGTTTCCTGTAACTGATATGGAGTGGGCCTGTTTTGCGTCTGTGTGGAATGGAGCAAAGTATCCTACAGTTTCCTTAAAGAACAACCAAATTAACACACCTACCTGGTAACAGGAAACAGGAGTCTTTTTATGAGAGCTTGCAAAAACCTCACTTTGAGGAGCTCATTGGGGGGGGGGGGAGCCAGGTGGGATTGAAATCTTCTCCTTTCTTCCTGCAGAAATGGCTAATTCTCCATTGTGTTTTGAGGAAAAGCTCTGTCAAATAATAGTTTAATTTTATTTTTTAATAATAAATGTTAAAATCTTCAAAGAGATGCAAAATATGCTACAAAATTGCCTTTAGGAAATTCAGTTGACTGAACACTGATATTTTAAAAGCAAGATTTGATTCTTGTTGATGAACGAAAGAGGAGAATCGTTATGACCATGTTAATGCCAAAGCATGACGCTGCTTTTCCAAAGGAAATGAGATTCATCCTTTACATTGCAAATACAAATGCTTGCCGTTCACACATCATCTTAAAGACCGTTGCTTAATAAAATAGACCATATATGCTCTCTGTTCATCTCAAAATACATTTACAGTTCATAAAAATATTTTCCACGGACAATTTCTTCTTCCTTTATGCAAATCTTTGTTGTTGCTGTTGTTGAGAAAAAGGCAAGTGCAAAACAGTGAAGGAAGATTGGAGTTCTTCTAAAAATATTTTTGAGCAATATGCAGATATGTCAACCGCACAGAAACGTCAACAAGACTTTAGATGGTCACTACTGGAGACCATATGAAATAATCAGAACTGGAAATGATTTAAAGTAAGTCAGAGCTGCACTGCCAGAAAAACCCCTTTTCATTAGCAATGCTTTTGGCTACAAATGTTTTAGCGTAGCCAACCAGATATATACCAAAACTCTGATGCCAGAGGTGAATCTGGACTAACCATACGGAGCACTTCTGTGTACTTAGCACTGCATTATGCTTGTAGATGAGCCCATGTAAGCTGCCACTTTACAACTCCAGAGACTATGCCTTGTTCCAAGGCACTCACTGGCCGCCGCCGCCACATCTGCAGTTACATTAGGAGCATTATTGCCAGGCCAAGCACATTACAGAATCCAGATCAAGGGATTCCTCAGCAGTTATACAAAAATACTAACATTTTGCCAAAGCAACAAGGTAAAAGTAGTTATGTATCCTACTGCATGCTTGTCTACACTGAATACAGTGAATATATTTTCTAACACACAGGTGGCTCCAATGGTGTTCTTCTGTTCACATGTGTGACACAATTGCTTAAAATACTACTTCCCCCCCCCAAATCTTCATCATGGGAGGTGGGGGACTGCATGTGGAATCTGCGCCCCATACTTCTGTTTGCAGAAGCCCCTTCCAAGCCAGAAGGGCATTGTCATCAACTAGTTAGGAACAATGTTATATTCCTGGCTTCCAGTAAAGTATTCTGCATCTTTTTCTTTCATCTTTCTCCACACAAAAAGGCCAGAATCCACATACACTCAGTGTTATTCCCTGTTAGTTGCAAACGTGGATATATTACATGGAAAAGCTGTGATCCAAGACTCCACAGGGCTTTGGTTTCCCATGTGAACAACGGCAGCCCTGGCTCTCTTCCATTTTGTGGGGCTTCTCCTAGTGTGTAACTCCATGGTGTAATTTCAGAGACTTTGTGTACAGGGTCTCATTAATGGGCTGAAGGTGCTAGAATAGGAGAAAGCATTTCTTCTTTTTCCCCATGTATTTTTAATTTTTGTTTTTCGTTCACTATTACTTCTTATTCACAGTAACAATGGGAGTGTCTCGGAGTGCTACATATAATCCAAATCAAGATGATAGGTGTTGCTTTAGTTTGGTTGTTCTTTAAAGTTTGTTCCTTTTGCTGTCCTGTACTGGTGAGCAGGCAGGTTATGCAGTAGCTGATGAACAAAGCTGTGTACAGTGAGAATTCTGGATTTCTGTTTCTCTCTTTCTCTTTTTTTTTAAGCTATAGTTGAACTGAAGCACACGGAAGCAAGAGCCATTAAAAGGCAGCATATTGATTATTTGTATGACATAACTAGGATATTGTAGCTAAAGCCTAGCAAGCTTGATAAGATAAAACTAAGTCCTATTTACTGTATTTAACATTATCTGAACATACCAAGCCTTAATTAAGGAGCAGAATTTACTTGCCAACTCATATGGGTTAGGCAAACACCAAATTGTTCCATTTCAGTCAGTGCTTTTGAAAAATCATTTTGCGAACATAACTTCTCAAAGCTGCAAAAACACTGATGTGTGTTTGGCTCCTGATTTTGGTTTCTTTTCAGAATAAAGGTTCTCCAAGTTGTGGCTCAACTGGAGTGATATTAAGGACTTTGGAAGGCTTGTAAAATGACTGACTCTCAAAAAACCAAGGACAGCCAATGTCTGGCATCAGAAAACATAAAACCAACATTGCTCAGAATGCAATGAGCAAAGAGCATCAGAAATCAAAATGGTGGGGTGTGATCCAAATGATAAAAGCATCATCTTCAGCAAGCTTGCAACCTAATGCCTCAGCTGTGTCATGAACACTGATTTAGTCCTTTTGCAGCTAAACAGCTTTCATTCATTCATCACCCCCCCTCCCCAAAATGACAAATTTCCGGTTTCTGGCTGTGCTATTCTCAAAATATTCTTTGGCATCCATAAAATAATTTAACTGATTCATCTGAACAACTGCAACGTCTTCATCTCCCCCAGTTTGAAAGTGATGGATTAACAAGCGGAAGTGTCCCAGTATATATATATCTATATCTATACGCACACGCTCACATACACACATTTAAAGTAACATACCAACAACAAAAAGTTTTAGTGAAGTTCACTTTTCTTTTTGTTTTTGTTCCCTGAGCTCACACTGGGGACACTCCAAGAAAGTATGTAGCAAACCTTAACCATGACCTTTGAAGCCAAAACTGAAGTAATGGTGTAATTAAGTGCAAACATGGAAAACCTGTGTGACTCATAGGTAATATGAGTTTCTGAATGACACTTAAGGCGTACTAGACACAATTTATGCACAACAGTATTGAAATATTTAGAACGGTGACATCTGTCTATCACTTTCAACGGCCTCCTAGTAGGATTTCAGTTATGAAATGCAAGGGCGGAAAGGGTAGGAAAAGAAATGGCAAAGGAAAAAAGGTTCAATCGCCTCTCGATGTCTACACTAAAATGATTGTACAGAGGAGGTTGACATGTTTTGCTCCCTGAACAGGAGCCATAATTTGGGTATTTATGCTGAAAATGTAGACTGGCCTCTTTTATGGGAACTGAAGCCATTTGATTAACAAAACAAAACAAAACCCCAACACATTTGAGTCATATTTTTCTCAGGTTCGTGAAGTTGCATCTTCCGTCCTATTATCTCCATTGTGTTTTGGTAAGAGGCTACTTTAATCAACCTGAGCAAATTACGGGAATTGCTTCAGACAACCAAAGGTTTAGGTTTTACCAATAAAATATCAGATGTCACTCAGGATGCATACGGATTCAAAGCAGAGCAGCTTTAACAAAGATATGTCATTCTTTATCTTGGATGAGGGTTTATGGTGCTGCCCAGCTGATAAGTTGTGAGTGATAGGGCTAAATCTTGGTTCCTGAACCCTTGGATGGACTTGGATCAAACTGGAGGTAAAAAAGAAAAATCAAGGATTTAAAAGACCATAAATACAATGTTGTCTTTCCTCCAACCATTAAGTGCTTTCTTCAAATAAGCTTGTTGTGCTTCTTTAAAAAATATTCGCTTATTTTACTTCATAGTTGCGCGCACACACACACACACACACACACACACTGACAAATCCTGTAGATGTATGCATACACGCACACATGCACACACACAATTTACTTTTCCTTAAGTTCTGTGTATATAGTTGGCTACTACAATAGTACCCCCATTCTGCAGCCTGCTAAACAGAGGCAATACCAGGCAGACCATGAAATCTATTTGCTTGGTTTAAATAATGCCCATAAAACTGTCATCCCTGCATGAACAACAGATACTGGCAATCTCAGGCCTCCTTGTTAAAATTCTAGGATGTCCTGCTCACTACCAGCAAGCCCTAGCCCCTAATAATGCACATGCTTGCATTTTGTTTCACTATGATACACATGTTTTGACTAGGAGAGGCTAGCTACTGTTACAGTATATACGTCTAAGTCAGTGAAGCTTTGAGTCAAACAGAGAAGAGGAAAAACAACAGTTCTTTTTTCTTAAACTACACATACAAATTAAAAACGAAACGAAAAACAAAACCCTCTGTTATGATACCAGGTGGAAATTAGACATGGCAGTTGTAACTGGATTTAGGGCTCACAGAGCTGTCACAATTGGTCTATCTGGCGTATTAGGATGCCAAAATGCTCATTCTGAAATTATCCTCATTTCCTGAATCTAATTGGCTATGGTGCCCTCTGCCACTACCAGATTCTGTGTCAGAGTCACTCATTTCTGCATCTGAGAAGTAGCCATCAGTCTCATTGTCAAAAGGGTGTAAGATAACTTTCGACCTCTCACTTCCTGAAGGTCCATTAACCAGCTCAGTAGGCTTCTCGTTCTGGGATCTCCGAGTCCCTCTGCCTTCTTTTGGTAATCTGAACCTCACTACTGTTTTTGGACTACCTACTGAATCAGGCACTTTAACCAAGGGTTTGGGATCAGAAGATGGAGTATATTTCAGTGGTTCCTCCTTCTCATTGCTCAGGTTACTTATCAGGCTCTGGGAGGCATGTGAATCATTTGCTTTTGGAAGAGTTGTGGGGTGTGAAGAGCCCTTCTTAGCCGACTTTTTCACTTCGCACATCGCCTTGCGCTCTGGCTGAAGTTTGTCCCCACCTTTCTCTGCTTTGCTGTTTCTTAAATCATGGGGTGAGGACTTGGTGGTGCTATCTGGCAAAGAGCTCACGTTAGTCCAGTGATGTGAGTCCTCTTGGTGTCTCTTAAAGATGGTACTCAAGCCGTTTCTTGCCACTTTCTTCTTCGTGTGCGTTCGCACTTTGCTCCTAGCTTTCTTTGCGGTGTCACTGTGCTTTAACGGGGACTTCAGGGAATGATCCATCATGAAACTCAGCAAGGTCTCTTCGTCTTGTAGAAGTTCCTCAGAAAGGCCTGGGGTGGTGTCTTCATGGTGGTCATTGTTCAAGGACCACTCGCTCATTGCCATGTTCTCAGTGGTGATCTGTACAGACTGAGCCAGCCAGCTGTTGAAGAAGGTCCCATCAATAGGAAAGGAAGTGGACAAACCTAAACCAAAAAGGAGTAGAAAAAGAACAGGACGCCTTAGGATTCATTAAACATGCTTTTCTTTAAACACTGCTTTTCTTTTGTGAAATGGGTATATTGTGGTGCCCACAACTGTTTCTTAGATTTCCAGAAGTGCCTAGTCCAAAAAGGTCAGGGATCCCTCCTCTAGACAGATGGAAACTCCTAGACTTGGATGCACTCCCACGGAGTGAGTGAGTGAGTGGATTCTTTATGATCTAAATAGCCAACTCTTTTCACGAAACACATGGGGTTCACAAATACATTAGTACTTCCTCATCCTCATAAAGAATCAGTTTGGTATAGTGAACTAGTAAACCAAGATCAGAATTCAATAAAAGTTATCTCAGGATCAGCAGGTGGTAGCACCTAAGGGCCTCAGTCACTGGCTGACAGCCCTGCTAAAGCAGTCATATTGAAGATTACTTCACTATCAGTAGAACCTTCTTTCTTTAATGTATGAATTGTTCTACAATACCAATAACAATCAGAGTTCCAGGTTGTGTGGACTCAAGACTCCATCTGCCAGTCCCTGCCATTGGGCATGCTGAACATGTGATATTCTGAGACCTTGCTGGCCAGTGCCCACATGCCTGGGGCATAGCTATTCAGTGCAGTCCTAGTCACATGATCACTTAACATGTGAATAAAAGCTTCTGAATGGGGCAATCGTTAAACTTCCCACCCATAAGCTCCATGGACAACATTTTTAAAGGATTTAACCTCTCCACAGGTGCTAAAGCAGCTTTTTTGAAGCCAAACTTACCCAGCTGCCCCAGCACCAACTCATTCCCCGATTTCCTTTTTTCTTTCTTCTCTGGGCTGCTTTTCCTATCATCTCTTCCTTTTCTTTTTGGGTCACTTCTTCTTCCCTTTGTTTTCTTTCCAGTTTGCTCTGTTTGGGTTTGAAAAACAGAAATCATTAATACTAAACACAACCAGCAGACACTTAGGAAATACAGAGGAAGCGAAGAAGAAACAAAATGTAACAAAGTATTACAATGGCTCCTAGTAGAGCATGAAGTTATATGGAAAAATCATTTACCACCGTTTTAGGAAAGTGGACTTTGCAAACTTGCCTTGTGACCCATGAGCAAAGCATCACAGGCTGCAATTCTATGTCACATAGTCTAAGACTTTTTTTGTTTTGAGACACACGAATGGGGTCACTGGCACACGGGTTTATTTGAATACATAAGATTTAACTCAATGTGAACCACTGAAATAAATAAGACTCCTTGGATTAAAACCAGTATCTTTTAAAGTCAAGTACCTCTCTTCGTGAATCAGACTATTAGGTTGTGATTCACAATCCACTTTTATGGTACCAGTTTTGCCCATCTCTAGAAAGTTTGGGTCAGCAGAGCATTCCAGCTTTTGGAGGACATAATCAACTGGTTCTTTATCTTTTAGGACACTTTGCTTATCTTTAAGGTAAAGGTAAAGGTACCCCTGCCCGTACGGGCCAGTCTTGCCAGACTCTAGGGTTGTGCCCCCATCTCACTTAAGAGGCCAGGGGCCAGCGCTGTCCAGAGACACTTCCGGGTCACGTGGCCAGCGTGACAAAGCCGCATCTGGCGAGCCAGAGCAGCACACGGAAACGCCGTTTACCTTCCCGCCAGTAAGCGGTCCCTATTTATCTACTTGCACCCAGGGCTGCTTTCGAACTGCTAGGTTGGCAGGCGCTGGGACCGAGCAACGGGAGCGCACCCCGCCGCGGAGATTCGAACCGCCGACCTTTCGATCGGCAAGCCCTAGGCACTGAGGCTTTTACCCACAGCGCCACCCGCGTCCCTATCTTATCTTTAATTCCACTCAAAACAGCCCAACGGCTGTATGCAAATGCAACAAGTTCCATTTGTGTAATGGGCCTCCCCCTGTGTACCACCTAAACTTGTTCTGGGTTCCCTCCCCACAACTCTCCAGAGCAGATTTAGGGGCTGCCGGGATAGTGGTGGGAAAATGCCCCATTGTGTGAGTTGACCTCATTCCACAAATACAACAAACTAAATTGAATCCTGCTTCAACATTCAATTTATACAAAACAATCTGAATGATCCCCAGGATTTATTTCCCTTGGCTGATTCATACTAAAATAACAAGGGACTTTTGTTAAAATATTACTTTTTTCCAGCAAAGGAACTTCTCCAAGCTTTTTACTTATTCCTTGGGATGCTGAGCATTCTCAGTGAGGTCCTGCCTAGAGCTCCTTCTGCTGGAGGCTGCAGAAGAGAGAAGAGCTCTTGTGTGCTCAGGTCCTGATTACGGCTTTCCATAGGAATCTGGTTGGCCACTGTGAGAACAGATTGCTGGACTTGATGGACCACTGGTCTGATCCAGCAGGCTCTTCTTATGTTTACACCTAGGACCGTAGCAGGATGCCACATGAAAAATGAATTTGCACACTTGATTCTGCTTGTGGTGGACAGCTTGTTGTAATAGTGTTATGGGAATCCCAACACCCTGCGTTTTAGTAGGCTTCTACCCGTTTTGATGTTATGTGAGATAAATAGACAGCTCATGGTTAGATTACTTGCTTAATGCAAGAGAGTTGCCTCTACATGCTGGCTGGTGGTTGAGAGAGAAACACAGCAGCTACCATAGTGTACATCAATAGGCCGTACTATTATGAACCTATTTCCAAGCATGCAGAACGGTCTGGTGTTAAGAGGAAGAATACAAATGGTGGTGGTGTTCAAGAACTGCTGGCTTAAACTAATTAGGCTGTCCTTGGTAGTCACTTAATAAACCCACCGATGTGGAGAATTTATGTTTCCAGGCATGCCAATCAAATACTTCCCTCCCCCCACCCAGCCCTCACAAGTACTGAACTGACTTCCAGGAAGAAAGAAAAGCATCATTGATGTTTGCTCAATTCCTGCCAGCTAACTGGAGAAGGGCAGACCCATTTTTCACTTGACTTAACAAATAAAAGTATCTGGCTTTTGTTTAGATGCTGCAATGCTTCCAAACAGCAATATGAATGTTAGCCTTTCTGAAAAGGAAGTCTGTCAAAAGGAACAACAGCTGCATTTCAAAGTCTGACAGCTAGGGGGGTTGCTTTTCAGTTCACCGGAGATAAATAGAAAACTCCCACTTTTAAACGGGCAGCCCCTTCCCACTTCAAGAGGCAATGCCTAAATGATTATTCATCGGTGGCAAAATAAAAAAGCAAGCTTAGCTTTACGAGGGCCGTCTTCAAAAGTGAAGTGTGCCAAATGTGTTTCACCAAGAGGTTGCTCATTAACCTCTGTGGCATACATTAATTAATAACTTGCACTGGGCTAATGATGGATGAGGAAGAATTTTCTCCCTCCAGAAAGAAAAGACAACAGAGGACAAAGACGTCTTGGGTCAATCTCAACAATGCATTTTGTTCGGAAAGCATGTCGTTCCGTGCAAGGATAGTAACACTAATAACGAATTATCTACAACACTGATCCTTGTGCCCAATTAAATGCAACAGGGGTTGAGGATATTCAGCCAATTTCCGAGGGCTACCAGCTCCATGCAGGCTTTCGATTCCAAACAATGCCAATTTGGCAGGGCTATAACTCACAGAGTAACTACTTGCTGAGGAAGTGATTTCATCTTTTGTCTAATTGACCCATAATAATAAAAAAGCAAACCTCCTCCATCCCTTGCACCCAGGAATTGGTACAGACATAAATATATTATGTGAAGTACAGTGAGCAACATATGGCCTATAGCACTTCATCTTCCAGCCCACTGCCTCCTACCAGGGCGCCCACTTCATAGAAGCTGCTGGCAGTCTATTGCTCATCTCAACCATTTCCTGCTCTAGAAACCAGAAGTGGGTTAAAGAGAAACCTGCAAGTGCCAGTTCCTGGACCAAAGCTCTGAAGAAGTCAATACCAAAACTTTCTGCCCATACTCCTTAGAGTGGCGATTTGGTATTTTTGTGTATCTGGGGGCGAAATTAGATGAGACAAGGAAGTTGCACAATTGGCTCTTCCATCTCTTTAAATTTTGGAAAAGAGCATCTGGGGAGGGAGGTGTGATACAGACTGAGACTGTTGGGCTGGGGAACAGAGTTAAGTCTCCCATTGCCCCATGATATATTTTTCCAATCTCTTCCTGCAAATTAGTATTTGCCCAACTAGGAGGGGGGCGGGAAATACACTTACAGGCTGCATAAACACAAGTCCTCCTTTACTGTACAAATAAGCAGCTTCAAGAGAAATGACGGTGGGGGGGGGCTATCTTCCCCCTACTCTCAGCAGCATGCTCCTGGTCCAGATGGTTATCTCTCTCTCCGCCCTCCCTCACCCCAGATATGGTTTCTACTTGCTAAAAAATAGAGAGAGGCCAGGTAACATATTATTCCTTCCATGAAACTTGCCTGGCTGTTCTTAGGGGTGCTGAGAGGAAAGACATTAGTCAGAAACATTGAAGGAGAAAAGTTGCATCTACAGTGGTACCTCGGGTTACATACGCTTCAGGTTACAGACTCCGCTAGCCCAGAAATAGTGCTTCAGGTTAAGAACTTTGCTTCAGGATGAGAACAGAAATCGTGCTCTGGCAGCGCAGCGGCAGCAGGAGGCCCCATTAGCTAAAGTGGTGCTTCAGGTTAAGAACAGTTTCAGGTTAAAAACGGACCTCCGGAATGAATTAAGTACTTAACCCAAGGTACCACTATATTTAACTACTCCTTCAGCAGCTACAGATAATGCATTTTTTTCCTGCTTGCAAAGTGGAGGAGGGGCTGGCAGGGTGGCCTGGCTAGTGGCAACCGCAAACCCGATTATCATGGGCCATAACCTGCGCCATTAATAGCCCTTATATAGTTGCCTATTGGAGTATCACATGAATATACAACCTACACTGTGATATAGAGGACAAGCTACAAGAATTTCCATAACTTCATCTTTCACAAGCCAAGCTTCCAAAGTGACCACAAGTGACAGCACGAAAGGCCACTTTCAGCACATTTCCAAGAAAACAGATTTGTTTTGGAAGTAAAGGCTTCTGGGCTACAGATCAAAAGAGTGAAATGCAACTCTCATGCATTTCTTGGGGTTACTTAATAGCCTCTGTGACCACTGGGATTACAGAATGATGTGCCAAAATTAAACTCCCAGGGCAAGAGTGATTATTTATCCAAACACATTGTAAGTAGAAAGTATGTGTGAAAATGATTATCGCAGGTCTAGCTAGTGACTGCCAAAGCAGAGTGGCATGTATGTGAATGATCTGCATATCAGTCTCAGAAAAACAAAAACAAAAACCTATTCCTATTTCACTTAAATAGAGGTTTGATTTGTATAAATGGGGAGATAAGCATGAGGCCCATGTATTCTTGTTATAACTATTTTTAAAACCGGTAAAATAATTAGGTGCTCTACCCAGCTGGAGGCGGGGGAGAGACTCTGCCTAAAGGCTTACAATCATAGAGAGCAGTAAACAAAGATGCTGCCTTATGATTGTGTTCATGGCCGAGATTGCTTTTTCTAGTGAAGCTGCAATTTCTCCTTAAATCACAGAACTGATATTTGTGGCTTGATCCCATTTCCGCATTTGTCACTCGCAAAGCTCCACTTCACTTAACAGGAAGCCGGAAAGAGCTTCTTCAGTCTCAAGTCTCTCTCAATCTCACTAGCTCTTTTGTGGAAGTCTGCATCACCTGAGGCTAGCAGTCAAATCTCAACTACAACTGAAACAGAAAAGACAACTCAGCTCCAATCAGTTCAGCTCCTGTTTAAAAAAATAAAATAAAATCTAAGCTGGCAAATGTGAACCATTTGGAGTAGGCGACTGAAACAAAACACCTGCACCAAAACATCCTGGCTAATTACAAAACCGGCATGGAAGCTGCCATGTGAATCAAATGGTAGCTGCAATATTCTCCTTGACAGCTTATTTTGGCAGGAACAACCGCTAGATTAGCAGGTGGGGACAGTCTTTCCCAAGCATACATGCAATATTAACACACTTCTAATCCAAATGTGGCTCATGGATAATGTAGTTCAACTGAATTCTCAAGGTTACCATTATCACCCTATATAAACAAGAGTTCCCTTATCTGAAGTCTGATTACATGCAGGCCTATATATACTCTGTGTAAGGAACGCAAACAAAAAGCTCCGATCCAAATTCTGCAGCAAAGACCGCGGTGAGTAGGGAAGGAGTCACAGACAGAATAAGGAGTCTCTGTTGGAGACAACAGTTGGAGGTCCACAAGGCTCCTTTCAGCTATCATTAACCATGGATAGACCAATTCTTAAATCAGTTTGTCAATCCTTTTTGAAACTCAAGTAAATGGCTATCACCACAACTTGTGAGAGTGAAACTTGAGAAATATACCGTATATGCTGGAGTGACTTGCTCAGTGCTACGTTGGATCCCTCCTATTGTTTATTAGTTTAAATACTGCTTATATGCCAAAATGGCTTTTAAGTGGTTCACAACTATAAATGCATTGCACAAGTTCTATGCATCCACATGGTATTTTTATCTCACTGTTTCTGGTGGAAACTCCTCAACCTTAGTACTCTCCCAAAGGTGGAAAGAGGCTGAAAGAAAGAAAAAACACACCCATGCTTGTGCAGAAGTACCCATGACTCTCTCTGGATACCAGTCATCATTTGTATTTATTATGGTATTTTGAATGTAATATAGGAACTGAAATTCCAAGATAATATTTGAATATTCTTGTAGGTAGGTTATATTGATTAGTTGTGTCATGATGACTGCTATCTTCACAAGAATTTATTAGTGTATTCAAACAGAACTACTAAAATAAATAAATTATTGTTGCAAATTCACACGTTTTCAAGAATGCTGGCTGCTTTGCTACTACAGTTACAGAAAATTCAAGGTCTGCAAAAAAAAGAAAAAGAAAAAAGGGCAAAGCACTATTTTGAACATATACACTCCATAGAATGTTCACAAAGAAGGACTCTAAATTATTCAGCCTGAAATGAATTTTGTTCCCTTAGTCACTGTGTAACTTGCTGCTGGGGATAAGCATCAATGCTTGATGTACTGAAGGTTTTCATGACATCCCTACCACCTTCACCTTCTGTTCTCCCCGCCCCTCTTAATAGTTCTGCTAATGGCAATATTGTTTGGACACAGAATTTCCAAAGTGGTTCTAATTCCACTGCTATCTCTATTTTCCCGTTTATTTCCATTAATTGAGTGAAATGCTGTTGTTAAGTAATGTTCCCCAATTATTGCAACCCCCTCAATCTGGCAATAATTAAGCATAAATATAACTCCCCTTTTCTGCTATGCAGGCTCCCGTTTGACACCTGACTCCCAACCTAATCTGCAAATCTGCACAAACACGTTGAAGTGAAATATTAGCCAATGAGGAAGTAACCCTAGCAAATTAAGTCTACGAAATGTGTGACCCCCACAGACTGTTGCAGCAATAGGATGAGTCATGCCATTAAAAAAAGGGAAAACACATCGTCCAGAATCCGGCACAGAATTAGGTGACCTTAAACCCACTGGAAATTCTGGAACTTCCCTAACACTTTGTTATATCATGGTTGTTTCCTTTCAGTAAGAAAACTTAAGATAATGAAGAAAATATGGCTGAGTTTAGACTTCTTTCCTTTGTTAATGCTCTCTTTTTATAGAGAAAAGAGCGCTACACAGCAGCTGACAAAATACTGTGATCCAAACCCCCTTTGTGCTGTCCTGGATGTCCCTGTGCCAGCCCTGCTGGCCTCCGGCAGCGGGAAGTTTCCCCTTCTGCCTGTGTTCCAGGGCTGAGCCAGCCCAGACCTACTGGATGCTGATCTGGGCATGATCACAGCATCAGTCATTTGGATGTCCCCACCCACCTAGAGGGCTGCACATCCTACTGTGGCCCCACTGCTCTGTTAAGTCCTGCCAGGCAGCAGCCAGGGTAAGAACTGCAGTTTAACATATTACTTTTGGCATAAACATTTCTGGAGCAGAGCCCACTAGATGCATAAACAATGATCCCCAGTTGGCAGCGAGCGATGCATGAATACTGCAAAAACTGTAAACACCATGCCTCAAAACACAAGTATACAGCAGGAGATCTGTGACATTTCTATGACGATCCCAAATGTATACAAGGTAATCCATCCACACCAGGAGTCTATTCTAACAGATGTTGTTTAACTACAACTCCCATCATCCCTGACCACTGGTCAAGTTAGCAGGGACTGATGGGACTTGTAAAATAGGATTTGGAGGGCCCTACACTGGTGTCCCTGATGTGGTGAGTTTTCTGAAGCTTTTGTCTGCCTCTGCTTGGGTTGCCATAAATGTAGTTATGGGATCTTATGCGCACAAAGTAAGTTTGCATCATGGTCAAACAAACGTGGAACCGCACATTTCTCAGGTAACACATTCCTCAGACCCTCAAAACTGAACTTGAGAAGAAAGCTTTCAGCAAAAGAGAATGTGGTCCAGACAGTCCTAAAGAAACCCTAACCACGTGATGGCTTCTGAGGAGGCGCCAAAGCCACAAACACAACAACTGACTGGAAACTCTGCCAGACAGCCAGATGCTCCTTCTGGAGAAAATGCTACATAGCTTTGAGTTTTGGGTTCTGTGCTCTTGTTGCAAGAGGGGATTATTTTTTAATTTTCAATTTACAAGATATGGACTCAACAACTATGTGCTTTTTGGCTGGGTGTGTGCCTTTTCAAAGGAGCTTATTTTTAACATCTTCCGATGGTTGCATGCATCTTAAGGCTCTCCTTATTAACGGATAGCCACAACTTAATTTGCAGATAAAGCTAAGAGCAAAGAGGAGCAAAAAGATCAGCTGCCAGCAGTTCAACCTTTGATCCTTAATAGAGTCAGAGGCAGTTGCCAGGAAGCCAGTGTAACTGCTGGCAAACCATGCTAGTGAACCAGATGCTGCCACTAAAAACACTAAAGTCTAGAGCCTTGGGGGCCAAGATGAGCAATAATAATCCAAAGAAGGTGGGAAGCAAACAGCATGCTTCTGCAATTGGATTTCATAACAGGTCAGGTTGATTAAACAGAAATTAACTAATGCAGTTAGGATTTCTAGCTAATTTCTACCTTAGATGTGACATATGGCTTGTTTGCACAGGGTCAGCAGGAGCTGCGATATCAGGTTCTTCTGCAAATCAGGAAATTAAAGGATTTGACCTGATGTCTTGCTAACTATGTGAAGATGATTTCCTATGTGTTCAGAAGGAACCTTGTTGCTTATCCCCATTAATAGCTGGGTGATGACACACTGGGTTACCTTTTAAACAGCTACAGCTTCTACTGTCTAAGTAAGCTAGGCCCTGGGTAGCTAATGGCAAGCCAATTAACTGTAGTACCATTTCAGATTTTCATGGCTTGGCATTACAAATGAATAATAATTAATTCTCTGGAATGGTTAGGTGGTAGTTTCCTATTATAACAAAAAATATGTTTTTATAAGTCATGTTATGACTTAACATAGTGACATTAAGTGTTTTTTTAAAAAAAATCTCTGACCGTTCCTTATTTAAACTGGCTTGAGGGAGTGTAAGAGGGAGTGAATATGACATCCAGCAAAGTTGAGCCCCTGCAGCTTATATTTAGAAATTAAGCTCTTGAATTAATGCATCTTTACAGGAACACATACATACCCATTACCAAAAATAAATAAATATAGCACTTTAAAATGTCAGCAAACACATCAGCAGTAATCATTATGTTGACACTAGGTTTTTTGGGCCCCAGAAGGAACATATACCTGGGTAAAGGTCCTTCTCAATAAGTTTCATCTGAAGGTGGAAGATCTGTTCCTGGAGTTTGCAAATGGAGTGCTTCATTTTCTCTCGCCTTGTCACCATGTAACAGAGATTCCTAACCTGCAAAACAGAATAAGCCCGGTTTCTACTTTAGTAGTGAATTCTGACAAAAATCCACTGGCATCTCAGCTACTTAAAATGCCACCCCATTATCCTTGCCCTCTTGTTTATCATGATCAAATCTTTCCATGGCACACTTTGTTTCTCCATCTTTCATGCCTGCATTCTTGTACACTCTGGAGGCAGTTTGAATAATGCAAATACTGCGGGCAAAAAACTACCAATAAAAGAAACATCACCCTTTTGGATCAGTTATCAGCCAGATACCTATGAATAACTGACAATAACCTAAAGCAGGAATGGGTAACCTGTGGTCCTCCAGATGTTGGTGAAATACCCACCATCCCCAACCATTGGCCAAATTGGCTGGGGATGAGGAAGTTGGGGTCCAGCCATATCTGGAGAGTGGCAGGTTTTCTATACCTGGGCTCAAGGCAAAGGCTGTTATAAGCTGCCTTTGACCATCAGCAGAGGCCGCCTGGCATCTAATTCATGTAATAGGCTTGGGAGGTAGCTTATCTACCTTTTCATGCAGCAATTGTTTGCAAACAGAAGATGCCACAAATATTTTGTCCAGTCTTAATCCGGGAATGGAGTTGATCTGTGGAGGGCAGGAGAGAGGACTACACATGGCATGAAGTGTGGGTTCTTCTGGTTATGAGAGCAAGAACTATGGTGAAAGAATGAGGGAAGGTGAAATGTGCAAATGTGCACCCTGTTGGAAAACTTGCAGCAGTACATCTCTCAAATAAGTCCCTATACTTTCTTATACCTTAGGTGCAGGCAGAACTCATGCCTTTAATGTAAAAAGTATTTTGCAATCCACTTCTCATTTTTTCTCATAGTAATATTTGGCAGTACATCACTGTCCTCATTTTAGATACAAGGGGCAACAGTCACTGGGGAGCTATGCAAACCCCACTGAAATGATGAGGACTGTGTAAGAGAACTTCATGAAGGAAACAGAGAAGAGACAGTGGTGTAAAGACTATCCAAGGGATCAAGGAATGAACAGAACTAATCATTTCAAAAATAGTTCTTTAAACATTTTCAAGAAAATAAAACCAAAATCAAAGCATATTAGCTAAGATAATTAAAATAAGATGGCTTGAATTAAATCCTACAGTTTCCAAACTACTAAAAAATAAATAAATCTTAACCTGCACATTCCAGTTTACACATGGCTGGTTCTTGGGGTGGGGGAGTCTCCCTAGATCTTGCCTTTAAATTGGGTTAAACAATTCACTTTCTCAAGACCCTTTTCTCTGAATCAGGAGAACTTCCATGAAGAAAAAGAAAAACAAAGGAACTATTATTTCTTCTGGGTCCTTGTTAATTTTAGCTTGCCTTTAAGGAATATTTAACTGCTTCTTTGCATGTTTTTGAAACTTTAAGGAAGCTTACAAACTCTTATAAACATAATATATAGATAGACCATGGCTGGTGCTGGGGAGAGGCAAAGTAACTTCTTTTAAAGAGGAAGTAAAATGCAGTAAGCTACCTATGTCTCTGTTAGTTAAGGGTGATGTTTTGTTACCCAAGATCAGTGCTTTTTTCTAGAAAAAGAGGTGGCATTCACCATGAATACCTCCCTTGTTCTCTTATAATGGCAATGGCACCCACCTGAGAGGTTCCAGAACTGAGTTCCGGCTGAAAAAAAAGTCCTGCCCAAGATATTGAAGCCTTTCGGAAATGTTTGCAGCTAACACGTCTGCTCTGCATTAGAAGACCATTTTAGGAAACACCAACACCCCAATGAAGTTAATGTTAGTTGTAATTAAGGCTGCAGTGCCAACTCTTCCACCCCTTGACAGGGCTTTGCAGAACTGTGGAGCCATCACTGCATGTGCAGTCTAATCACTCATGGCAGTCACAGCAGAGAGGAGGGTGGGCAGGTTGATCAAGCCCAATTCCCACGCCTGCTGCAGTCTGAAACAGCAACTGGTTCCGGACTGGGCCTGAAGCAGACAGCTACGGTCCATCTTGAGATCCAATGAAACCCTGCTGTGGGGCTTTCTGCCGGTAGCAATATGACCAGTGGCCCTCCTGTGGACAGGTTTGGTGGCCAGTCAAATCAGTCAGAAGAGCCAGGTGGAGTGACATTGCCACTTAATCTAACCCTCACACAGCCTGGCATAAGAGTGAACTTTAGGGCATGTTTGTCAGTACTTACTACAAGTGTTGACGGTTGTGTAATTGCAATGACTAGCAAATATTAATGAGTCATAGAATGGGGTAAGAAACCCTCTGTTGTGTCTTGAATCTTTTAATAATTATTGACAAATAAGTCTCTGCTTCTTCTAAAGAAAATTTTCTACCCTACACTTGCAGGGCACAACAAAGCTGGAAGAGATGAAATTGTCTCATTTTATCCTTCTCATACAACTCATATCCTTCTCATATGACAACGTCAGCCAGGCAGGGCTGAGACATAGTGACTTGGCCAAGGCCACTAAATGAATGTCAAAGATAAGAAAGCATTGGACTTTTGGTCTTCTGCATCCACGTCCAAGCTCAAAATCCAGCCACTATGGTACAACCGCTCTCAAGCAGGCAATTACTGTGCCTTCAGTGACCAGAGGCAGCCCAGCTGTCCTTCCTTCCAACAAAGATTGAGCTATTGGTACAATGCAATATTCTGTTTGAGCATGGCTCTGGTAATGGGAATGAACTTTAAAATCACAACATCTGTAGGATACGTTTAATATAATTAAAACCTACTGTTTTAATTATACATCTTTGTTCAGGATGTGTCTATATAAAATAGTACTTTTATGGAATTCTGCAGTAGAACTGCAGCAAGTTTTTCTGTCATTACGTTTAAAGGTCCTGTGTTGCTAGTAATTGCTTTGTATAGTGGAAGAGAATTATACAGCAAAGACTCAGTTTGCAGACACGGCTGGAGCCTTGAGGAGCAGGATTGATCTACAAATGTCAAAAAGATACAGTGGCCCACTTTGCATGGCATGGTAAACCACAGTTAATGGTTCACCTTGAGTGCATCTTTCTGGACTATTTATTGGCACCCTGCTAGTATGCAGAGGAAACTCTGGCTTAGTGTTATATCCGAACCAGGGATTATGGTTTGTTTCACTCCAACAAACCATGATCAGTACACTAACAAACTTTGGCTACAGATTGTGGTTTACAAGGAGTGGGGAAAACCACAACTCTTCACAGTGCTAAGACAGGGGTTGTGGTTTAATACTACTGGCTTTGTTTGTCCCCATGGACAACAATCTGCCACAGAGTTTTCCAAATGCTTCTTTTAAAAAAATTAAAAAATAAAAAACCCCACACAAAACAATAACACCTTTCTCTCTGGCAGGTGTACAGCAAATGACAGTGCTTCTAAAACAAACCCAGTCACCCAAAGGTCACTTCTGTCTTGCTTCCTTCAGGAGAGCTGCTGCCATTTCACCAGTGACTGATGACCCAGTTGCAAGAAATCCCCCTCAGAGAAAAGCTCCATTCAGCATAAATACTGTATGCAGAGGGAATGTCAGTGGTAAAAGAAAACCTTGTACCAGTTGGCTATCCTGTTTCGACAGCATAGCTGCTCAGGAGAGAGCAAAGCCCAGACACAGATCAAGGAGACCAAAAAGAGCTGTTCAAGTGTCAAATTACTTCCTGACACATTATCATGCTGAGGCAACTGCAGGGGTCCGAGACCTCATCCCCTGACCCCTGAAGTTCAAGATCAGTCTTCAAGCAGAAGAGCTCCTGATTTTTAACATTTGCTTTTCCAAATCAGTACAGGGGCATGAAAAGCCTGTTGCTAATCTCTAACAGGACTTCATTGATGATTTAAGACACCCTGTCACACACTGTCAGAGGCACAGTGTGAAGTAAATATAGACTTTACAGGCATCTAAATATACCCATCCTCTTCTGACCTAAGTCTGCCCTGGTTCATTCATATACTAACTAGGCCAAATTCTGATTCATTAAAGCCCTGTGCAATGCTGTTACACTCATGCCCATGAACAATAACAGCAGCTGGTATGAAAATAAAGCTTTATTCACATAACAAAAAATCTCTCTGGAGACCCCTCCTTCAGAATCCCTGCCAACTCCTACCTGCATCAAACTTTTAAGAAACTGTGCTATTTCATCAGGACCTTACCCACAACTGTGTATAACAGGCACTTGGGGGGGGACCCAAAATAAGCAAAACCAAAAAGAAGTTCTGAACCAATTTAAGCACAAACTCTGTGTCTTGCATGATGTTTAGCTCATTAAATTTGTATACAGATTTACATTAAAAAGTCCTGAAGCGATCTCCAAGCAAGTAAAGAAAAGGGGGTGGGTGTTGAATTCAGCAAAGTATTTGCACAAGAGGAACAGTGTCCAAGGTAGGAAAAATGACTAAATTCAGCTCCTCCCCACCCACTCCAGAAAAAAGAGAGTTCCCAATAGCTATGCGTGTGCAGCCCTAATAGATGGATCACAAATGCATATAACCAGGCCTTTTTGGTAGTGGAACCCATCCTGTGGACTTCCCATCAAATGTCAAGGAAATAAACAACTATCTGACTTTTGGAAGACATCTGTAGACAGTCCTGATTAGGGAAGTTTTTAATGTTTTATCATGGTTTTTAATATAGTATTCTGTTGGGAGCTGCCCAGAGTGGCTAAGGAAACCCAGCCAGATGGCTGGGGTATAAATATAGTTGTTGTTTTTGTTGTTGTTTACATCTACTTGTGTTTATAAATCTTCTTCCAACTAGGGACTGTGCATGTGGAAGCTTGATTCAATGTTTGTAGGCCAATTGACTGGATTAGGCTATGTGTGTATAAATAAACAAATCCCTCTCATAACAGCATTGTATTTCTGAAGAAAAACTGTGGGATGGCGTGAAAGTAGGGAGGAAAAGTAAATTCTCACTGGAGTGCTTAATGCACAATGTCCTCAACAATATTTCCAGTAATTTATACAGACATAGAATGATATTCACATAACATTTTTCATTCTTCCCCCTCACTTTTTGGTGGGGGAG